TTAATTCTGAAACGCGACAGAAAATTAACTGTAACTCAGCGAATACTTGCCACACATATATTAGAGATATGTCTTTACAAAGCTTGAAGTGTCTTTTTATAAATGATGTAAAGAATATAAAAAACAAAGTGATCTGTATGAAAGCAACGTGAGGTACAGTTTCTCAAGCGCCTGCTCATTACCTCTAATGTGACCACACCCATGCGCGCATGAGTGATTCACATGCAAATAGTCCACGTAAAGGAACGCGAACCTGTAAAAGCACCCCATCATCTCAAAACAAAGCAACTTCATCATTTCAGCATTGCGTGACTAATGTTAAATTTAATGTGTTTTATGGTTACCTATGTAGTTCAGAATTCATATTCTCCATAATAGCAAAACGAGAAAGGCACAAAAAAGGAAACTCCATAACTGTGTGAATTAAGAAAACGTACTGTTACACGATTGAACTATTGAAATGTCTTAACTTACTTGTTCAGCACAAAAAAGCCGTCTCTTCTTCCGTTTTGAACCCCTTCAAAACACGGAGTTCACGCACTTTTCAAAAGCCCCGCCGATGTTTAAATCCTTGTGTTCGCATGAGACGGTTTCTTTCTCTTTCTCTAGCCACCTTAAATCCGAAGTACGAAGTCTTTTGGGTTTTATAACTGCTGAATCTCCAGTTGACACTGATGATTGTTGTTTGGCTCTTTCTGGATGCCATAAGTTTAATTATGTAAAGTGCTGCGAGAAAAGCCTATACATCTAAACATCTCGTCACGCGCAGTATAGCCGGCTAGCCGAAACTCCTTCTTTATGTGTACGGGTGTGACGTAATGACGCAAAGACATGCTCGAATTTCCCGCGGAAACCCACCAGTACCACTGGAATTAAAATCATTATTACAAGCTAACCGTTTTGAATCTAGCTATGGCAAGCAGATAGTTTTGACCACTGGCAGAATAAGTTTTTTTTAATATAATTATTTTGGATTATTTTTAACTTAAAAAAAGTTACGGACTGGAGCTTTAATGATCTGTAAGAATGGGGCTTTATTAGTGCTGATCATTGATTCGAGTAACTTTTTTGACATTTGGGTATAAAGTGTTTTAATTCTACAATATATGGTGTAAAAACGTCTGAGTGCTGCCCTCTTCAGGTTGAACGGTGGCTACTGCAGTTGAATTTCCCTATTGGATGTTTGCGGTGCTTCGTGACGTAAGCGGTGAGAGCTGACGTAAGCAGGTTCCAGCTCACCACGCCCTTGGTACGAGCTACCACGCCCTTGGCAGTATAAAAAACATCTTGTTTCGTCAAAACCACTGCGAGTCAAGAGTTGGAATTTACGAGTATTGAAAACGATCAGGATAGAGTATTTTAGCATCTATTTAGCATAGCATTTATATAGTTATTTAGATTATTTTGTGTAGCCTAGTTAGTTAGTAGCATAGTACAGTTAGGATAGCTTCAAGTTAGCGTAGATTTATCTGTATTTAGTACAATGGTCTTCTCCACACAGCTCGTGCTGAAAAGCGACGCAGTGCCAAACACTGCTCCTCCTGCATGGACTCCACCACCGCGCAGCAGCGTCTTGATGTGAGTGATCATGTATATTTTAATCACAATTTATGGTAGGCTAAAGTTAATCCTCTGGGGTCGACAAACGCGGCGGCGCATTTTGCATTTGATTTTTTCACATAGCGGCAAAATATCAATATGAATATATGCCTACAAAGAGCGCCGCGCGCTATTGACATCAACTCGACAAAACTCATCAGATGACGATCGCGATGCAGGAGTTAAGACCGCAGTTTGAGCCAGCGGCTCGAATTGATATGGCCCTGTGTCCACAGACAATTCACCCCCCTCCATTTCAGGTGAAGGTGGGGGAGAAAAGTCCTCGACTTCAAATGACCGCTCTGTTGCAAAGCTACTTGCGTCACTCCAGTCACTCTCCATTTTAGAGTCTGACAGCAGCTGTCACGGCGGGTCTCAGGTACACGCCCCCCCCCCGCTCAGCCCCGCCCTCGGTTCGTCCCCTCTATCTCCGCTGGGGTCTGCCCATTTTTTAAGCATTTTTCAAATATTGCCAGTGGGTGGAGTCAGGCTCTGACCAGGGGTTTAGTTACCCTTTAAAAACCGAAGCAGCACAAAAAAAACTTTAACCGGCACAAACGAACGAGACTATTTTATTTGGAGCATGTGGGGATCTGGGGGACCTCAGAATGACCTACAAATATTATTTTAATATCTAAAAAACTGAAGCAGTATACAATTTTTTTTTAAAAATGTACAGCACAAACCATCACAAACGAAGTAAAAACGATTGAGCCTATTTTGCCGACGTTTTAAATGGGGTGGGGGCGGGGGAGGGGCCAACTTCACGCAGTGATCGGCTCGGAATGCATTTTCAATTTGCATATTGAATTTTGCTACATTCATTGCGGGACACTTAATGAAAATGCAATCGCTAGTGTCTTAACTGTGAGTGTAAATGCAATTAAGAAAAATTAAATTTAAATGATCATTTTGCTACAATTTTTGCTTGAATATTTTAAACATATCTAATAATTTCTGTAATACATTTTAATTTTAATTTTGCAACTTATAAAGTGTTAAAATATGTATTCAATTTACATATTAAAACTAGTGTATGAAATGGGAAATGTAAATTATATAATTGAATTATCATTTTCATTTTGCACCAAACGTTGCACAAATGTATTGGAAAATGTAAATTTAAATACAGAAATGCATTGCCATTTAAATATTGCATTTCAAATTGAATATTGCTACCCAAATGCTTCCATAGTTCTCTGCACACACTGTGAGTTTGGGTCACTTGCGCTGTGCATTTGAAAAGTAAAACACGCCAAACATTAGGCTACATGTTTTTACTCCAATCTCATTTCATAACGTCATAATGAATGAAAACATTTGAAGTAACATATGATAATCCATATGTTTCTCTAGTGTAGTGTACTGAAGTGTTTCTTTTTAATGATTTATCGTTATAGACCGCCTGCATTTCTGTAAAGTAAAATGATTATAGTTATTGTTGTTATTTTATGCAGCCCTACAAGTATATGCCTACAAGGCACAACAAACCTGTTGTTCATTATATATATATATATACTTGAACTTGAACTTGAAAATTCACCAAATAAAAAAAATAAAAAAATTATATATATATATATATATATATATATATATATATATATATATATATATATATATATATAATTTTTTTATTTTTTTTATTTGGTGAATTTTCAAGTTCAAGTTCAAGTTCGTTTATTTCTAGAGCACATTTACTTTCGGCTTTCGGCCGACCAAAGTGCTGTACATAATCACAATACAATACACATTGCATCAACAACATTACAATCGTCAATCAAATGAGGTGCATTAAAATAAAATAAGATCAATCAAGTAGATTACATATTAAAAGCTGATCCAAATAAATGAGTTTTTAGCGCTGTTTTAAACTCAGATAGTGTGGAGGCCATTTTAAGATGAATTGGGAGCTTATTCCATAGAGTGGGGCCCACCACTTCAAAAGCTCTATTTCCCCTCTTTTTCAAGCGGGTTCTAGGAATCAGAAGGAGGGATTTATTTGCTGATCTCAATTCTCGATTTGCAGTATATGGGTGAAGTAGATCAGATAAATAAGTTGGTGCAAGATTATTTAAGGATTTATAGACTAATAGTAAATTTTATAATCTATTCTATATTGAACAGGTAGCCAGGTAGCCAATTTTAAATAGTAATTTTAACCAGTAAAATCACAATTAGATTTTCTTCCCCAAATTGTGCAGCCCTATAGTTTCTCCTGATATCAGCGTGTTCACAGTTGTTTTTTTGTTTGTTTTTGTTTACAGGGACCAGATGCCACTGATGAGTCCTTCTGACTTAAACATTCACACGAGTCTCTGTACATGAACATGGTTTAATGAAAAAGCAAACACCTTGGAAAAGACAGGTTTGTTGAACAGGAACTGTTTCAGGAATGGTAAAAAGTCTCTGTTTAGATCATTGTGCTCAATAACGTGCCTTTTTGTCCTTCATTATGTATATTTGGATAATGTTGTGTTGAAAATAAATCCAAACAATCAAAAGGCCATTCTGTTAATCTCCTCATTCTTTTTGCAACTTCCCTCACAGTCCCACCTGATATGGCCATTAGGGGAGGGTCTTTGCCTTCCCTGGTGTGAAACATCAATATTCATGATGATTCATGTCCTCCTCGCGTACAGCTTTCTTACACAAAACATTTCTTACAAATTTTAAATCAACATATTGTTTTATGTGAATGAGTGGGCAGGAAGATTTTAACATCGTTTTGAAGCAAAATTTTTAGACTACACGATACAATTTTCAAAAGTCTTATTAAAACAAATAATCAGTATGGGTTTTATGGCCTTATTTTTTGCTTTTTCACAAACCATGCATAAACGTAATTTTCTCAAAACTACAAACTTTTACATACATGCTGCTTACATATAATTGTAGCAGAGTTTGTGCTGAATAGAGTGTAATCAGACTTTAGCCATGAAAGTGTTACAAGTAACAGAAATAAGCACAAATGTCAGAGAATGTCAGAACACCTCCAGGGCCCAGAAAACACCTCAGACCCCAAAGGGTTAATGTAGAAGAAAAGAAGAAGAAAAGGAAAATCATTACAAACACAATAGGGTTGTGGGTTGGACCCCTAATAATAAGAAAATCTTAAGGTAATAGAACTTTGTTTTTGGACCCCTAAAAAGTAAGCATCTCCAGTATTTTCACAAGAGAATGGCAGCAAAAGTTTGAGCATTTAAAATAAATGCATACATGACATGGACATTCCAATAGTGTTATCATAATATTCCAATAGCTGTGAAGCATATAAACATATTTTATACTTTCTTATTTTTTTAAATTAAGTCTTAACCCGAATATAGAATATAAATGTGGTTCAAATTTTGTATATAACTTAATGTAATTCAAACTGAGCGAATAATCATGCAAATACTTACTGGTGCTTTTTTATCAATGGGCTTGATGACAAACTTCTTATCGTTGAAGGAAATGTTTCGAATCTCACTCCATGGGAAACCAATCATTGGTGTAAGCCTTAAAGAATAACAAGAGAGGGATGAACAAGCTTTAAAATGTATACATTTACTCAACAATATGCAGAAAAGCATGTTGTGGCGAGCAGGACGAGGCCGAGGGCCGTGAGAGATTGATAACGAGCGACACCTGTGCAACGCACCGTCTCGTCCTGCTCGCCACACATGTTAAAAACAGCCAGCAGAGGAAATACTCAGTGTATCTGCGGACAGACAATGTACTAATGTCTGCCCAATAAGGCAGGGAGATGGGGATGGATGGGTGCCACTCACAGAATGTGATGAGCTATATGTATGTGTGCCAATCAATGTTTAATAATAATAATAATAATGCATTTTATTTAATGGCACCTTTCATAACATCCAAGGTCACCTCACAAGCAATATACAAGTCACTGCATAAGACAAAACACACAACAAATTAAAGCTGCAAGCAGCGATGAAAGGGCCCTCACACTCGTGCCACCGCCACCCGGTGGCTTTAGGAAGACAGAGCACAGTGGGGAATGTGCATTTAAGTTGGTAAATATAGGAGGAGTATTTCAAAGTCAGTTAAAAAATGTCCTTTATTATGGTGATAATAGCATGCTTTATCACTCAGCTAAGTGTAGCTAGCATGTTTAATATGTTTCTAGCATGTTTAGCACACAATGACATATTTTTGTATGTGGCTAGTACTGCATTACAGTGTTAACCATGTCACTTCCTGTTGCCAGCAGGTAGTGCTATGACTATAACTGAATATGAGCATGGACATGTGTTCAGGACATAACTCTTATCAAACGTGTGAAGTTTGGGGCAGATTAGACATTGCATGCATGAATTACAAAAACTTCCTGTATTATGGTCATAGTATCATGCTTTTATCCCTTAGCTAAGTGTTGCTAGCATGTTTAGTATGTTTCTAACATGTTTAGCACACAATAGCATATTTTAGTATGTGGCTAGTAGGCTACTGCATTACAGTGTTAAACATGTCACTTCCTGTTGCCAGTAGGTGGCGCTATGACTATAACTGATTATCGTTATGTAGATGTGTTCAGGGCAGGACTCTTATCAAACATGTGAAGTTTGGGGCAGATTAGACATTGAATGTTTATGTTACAAAAACTTCCATTTGCATTTAAAGCATGCATTAGCACTTAGCTGTGTTTCTAGCATGTTTTAGCATTTTTCTAGGGTGATGTTGCATAATAAGTTGGGTAGATTGGACATTGCATGCCTGAGTTACAGCAAATTCCTATTCAATTGCAGTAATAGCATTCTTTAGCACTTAGCTAAGTGTTTGCTAGCATGTTTTAACATGTTTCTAGTTTGCTGCTAGCATGTTTAGCACTTGCTGGCACTTTTTTAAATGTTATTAGGAGTCCACAACAGTGTTGAACATATCACTTCCTTTTGCCAGCAGGTGGCGCTATGACTATAACTGAATATGAGCATGGAAATGTGTTCAGGACAGAACTCTTTATCAAACGTGTAAAGTTTGGGGCAGATTGGACATTGTTTACCTGAGCTATAGCAACTTCCTGTTTCGTGGCAAAACATCGAAATTTGTCAGGCCGCCGAGGACACACCCTTCGACGAAAACTCAAGATCTTCACAATTTAACATCGCAAAGGCCTTAAGATTACACTCACCAAATTTGAAGATGATTAGATTAAAACTGTAGGAGAAGTTTGTTAAAGTACGAGGCCTGAAAATGGCAAAACTGCACAAAAATCTGAGAGGAAGTTGAAAATGGCTGACTTCCTGTTGTGTTTAGGGCTATGCTCCAATATACTTTTTTTTAGGTATTGGCTCATTACATGTATGTACCGAATTTCGTACATGTACGTGAAACGTAGCGGGAAGCGTACTCCGTTGAACCTTTATAGGTGGCGCTATCGAGCCATTTTGTGCCACCTAATTCTGAAACCCATATCAGTGTTTAAAAGGTTTTTATTAGGGAATCCAACAATTTGACAATCATTGTTACATCGCTTTTTTATGATTCCTCATTATAAACATAAAGGCAACATAAAATGCATAAAATGTATAAAAATAAATAAATAAATAACAATAAAATAAAATAAATAAAATAAAATAAAAAGAACAGTTCCCACTACCACCCACCCCACCCTAGGGACATAAGACATACCACACTAATGGGCAATCAGTACTACACACTCAGCCTACCTAAGCACGCCAACTTAAACTGAGCTATCAAGGTAGCGGAGAAGGGAAGACCAAATCTTATCAAACTGATCCAGTTTGTTTGATAAAGAAAAATGAAAATTTTCCAGATGTAATAACCTAACCATTTCGTCCAACCACATTTTAACAGTAGGGACTTTGGTGTTCTTCCAAAACTTAAAGGGATAGTTCACTTTGAAATTAATTTTTGATATGTTTTAGCTTACCTCAAGGGCATCCAAGATGTAGGTGTCTTTGTTTCCGCAGAAGTTTCAATTTTGATATTTTTAGGTCAAACCGTTCTTGTCTGTCAGTCATATAATGCAGGTCTATGGTCACCACCTCAAAGAGCATGCACAGAGAAGTACAAATTAAACATGATTTAATGACTCGTAAATGTAAGTACACATTGATGGCCTAAGACACGAAACGAGTGGTTTGTGTGAGAAAACGAACAGTATTTATATCGTTTTTACCTCTTGTAAACACAGCCACGTCCAAGTGATCTGAGGGCGCGGGCGCTTCGGTCTGTGCGTTACAAGAGGTAAAAACGATATAAATACTGTTCGTTTTCTCACACAAACCGCTTGTTTCGTGTCTTAGGCCATCAATGTGTACTTACATTTACGAGTCATTAAATCATGTTTAATTTGGACTTCTCTGTGCATGCTCTTTGAGGTGGTGACCATAGACCTGCATTATATGACTGACCGACAAGAACGGTTTGACCTAAAAATATCAAAATTGAAACTACTGCGGAAACAAAGACACCGACATCTTGGATGCCCTTGAGGTAAGCTAAAACATATCAAAAATGTATTTATGAACTTTAAATTTATTTATTTATTTATTTAGCTATGAACATTGGAATGGAAAGAGTACGCTCTGTCTCGAGGGTTAAAAATTCTCCAAATATCAAACAAATTTGAATTATTACAATATTCCTTCATGAAAATGCTGGAATTAGAAGGTGGTGCTCTACGGGATGATGATCTGTCCAAATAAGGATCTAAAACTAAATTTAGGTCACCTGCAATGAGTAAATTAGTTTGCGAGATGTCAGGTATCTGAGCGAAAACATGTTTAAAAAATGAAGGTGAGTCTGTATTAGGACCATAAATATTAACCAGTGTTATGGGTAATGTATATAAATCTCCAATAACAATTAGATATCTTCCCTCCTTATCTGCGATGGTTGTCTTATGGATGAATGGTGTGCCCTTTCTGAAGAGTATGGCCACCCCTCTTGATCTAACTGCACACGTAGCATGATAAGTTTGACCAATCCATCTACATCTTAGTTTGATGTATTCACTTTTATTAAGGTGCGTTTCTTGAAGAAAAATTATGTCACTAGATAGCATCTTTAGGTGTGCCAAAACCTTGCCCCTTTTAACGGGATGATTTAATCCTTTAACATTCCAAGTGACCATAGTAAATTGTCTCTCCTTATCCCGCTGAGTTACGTTGTCCTGCATGGTGTCGGCTCATACAATATGAATATAAACCCTATCAATGTGACATATATGGTCATATACTGAATATAGATGTCCCAGAACAACCCTCCCTTTGACATGCTCTTGCCTATACTAAGAGAAACCTTGCCGCGATCCCACTAAGGAAGTTACGAGAAAAAAAAAAAAAAAAAACAGCAATAACAAGATACCAAAAAATGAACATGTACCATACTAACTTCCCTCACTAAACCCTTCTAACAATAGAAGTTTAGAGCAGCCCCGCAAAAGGCACATATTTTGAAGTAAAAAGAATGCATATATAAATAATAAAGATTTGAGAAACTAGACTTATTGACAAATTAAAAATATGAAAAGAGATAAATAAAAATCTGGAAGGACGATCCATCCTACCCTATTTATTTCAAAATAAACCAGAAGCCAACTTCAATAAAGATGGACATATACTTCAATTAAAGGCAATCCGCAAATGTAAACACTTGAACGCTCTACAGCTATTCGTTACCCAGCACGACAATGCCATTATCAGCAGTCTCCGTCTTCAGCATCCTCACGGCCCGAACCAAAGTGAAGCTCGGCAAACTCTTCGGCTTTCTTCGCATCTGTGAACACTGTCTCTGTGCCATTAAAAGTCACTCTCAATTTCGCTGGAAATACTGTCCCATACCGCACTCCTGGCTTGTCTCGAAGTATTGCTCTGGCTCTGTTAAACGCAGCTCTGAGCTTTGCCACCTCGGGCGTGAAGTCAGGGAAAACACGGATCCTCTGACCGTTAAAAGTAAGATCCTTTCGTTCAACAGCTTTCCTTAGGATCGTTGTCACATCCCGAAAGTAATGAAGCCGCACTACCGCGGCGGCTCGGTGCCCTCCGGTCGCTAACGTAAAGCCCTGTGGGCACGGTCCACTAGCGGGCAATCCTCAAGTGACAACGCGTCTTTCAAGAGTTCTGAAACAAAAGTGTTCATATCTCTGCCCTTCTCAGACCCTTCTTTCAGCCCGGCTATTCGCACATTTTGTCTTCTAGATCGCCCCTCTAGATCCATGCACTTGTCTGTAAGAAGATTCACCTCAGTACATAGGCGTTTCACCTCCGTTTGAAGTTTGGTTATGGCATCTGAAGAGTGATTTGCTGAGCGTTCTAGGTCGGCCAGAGTAGAACCTTGTTGCGCGGACGTAGTCTGCAAGGCCAGAATGGCGACTTGAGTTTCAGATTTGAGAGCAGATATTTCCCCTCTGATAGTTGTGGCCATCTCTTCAATGCACGTGTCAATCGGCTGACAAATCTCAACTTTGGTAGCTCGCAGATCTGAATGTAACAAGTTAATGGCTTCCAGGACTGTAGCATCTGCCGACC